GCTGCTTGTGATCTAGAGGTTTCTGTAAAGACGGTGCTGCTTGTGATCTAGAGGTTTCTGTAAAGACGGTGCTGCTTGTGATCTAGAGGTTTCTGTAAAGACGGTGCTGCTTGTGATCTAGAGGTTTCTGTAAAGACGGTGCTGCTTGTGATCTAGAGGTTTCTGTAAAGAGGGTGCTGCTTGTGATCTAGAGGTTTCTGTATAGAAGGTGCTGCTTGTGATCTAGAGGTTTCTGTAAAGACGGTGCTGCTTGTGATCTAGAGGTTTCTGTAAAGAGGGTGCTGCTTGTGATCTAGAGCCTAGAGGCTGCTGTAAAGACGGTGCTGCTTGTGATCTAGAGGCTGTTGTAAAGACGGTACTGCTTATGATCTAGAGCTTTTGCTATGTTCTCTGGTTTGTAATTCGTACACATTGGATGACGTTACTTTTACCACCTTCGGTTTTCTTAGCAGTTTAATCAAAAGGCGCTATTCATTGAAAATTTCTTCCGGATTGTTCAGATATCCCAGCCCACGAGACTGTCATCAGTGAGTTCCCAGATTGGAGGGGAATTAACGTCAAGTCGGGACTGTCTCCAGGAACGTTATACCAGTTCAGAGTTAAAGCTGGCAATGACCAGGTGGGCTACGGACCCCCAAGTGCCGGGCCTCACAGTAAGTCTTTTAATGCTAGTATCCTCATATGAGTGGTTGGACTCATCGTGATATTTTTTGTAGCACATTCACAATCTCCTCATGATTCACATAAATGTGTCCTTGTAACCCATTCCCGAAAAATATAATTTTTTCATATCAAGATGTGATGTAAATGACGTCATTATCAAACCTTTATTTCAGAGTGGTTTTCCATGCAGTCAGCACCCCCCATATACCCACCCCCAAACGTTGGAGGTGGAGGAGGCAGTGTTGGTTTGTTGGTGATAACATGGGATGTAAGTAGATGTAATCATTATCATATGAGATGAAAGTAGATGTAATCATAATTATATGAGATGTAAGTAGATGTAATCATAATTATATAAGATGTAAGTAGGTGTAATCATTATTATATGAGATGTAAGTAGATGTAATCATAATTATATGAGATGTAAGTAGATGTAATCATAATTATATGAGATGTAAGTAGATGTAATCATAATTATATGAGATGTAAGTATATACACTCATAATTATATGAGATGTAAGTAGATGTAATCATAATTATATGAGATGTAAGTAGATGTAATCATAATTATATGAGATGTAAGTAGATGTAATCATCATTATATAAGATGCTAGTAGATTTTATTTATCATTAACTATGATGTAACTATGATTGTTCGTGGCTGGCTGGGTAGTTGGCAAAATCTTTGATTGGATCATTGACCAACCTCCCGTCAACCTATCCAGCTGAAACTTGGCAACTAGACGCACTCCCAATTCCAACTCATTTTTTCAAATGTTCAACCCCAACCCACAAAAATTATTATCTCCTGTTTTTCCAAGGGGAAGATGAAGGAAATATGACGACACACAGTTATTGAAATAAAATTTCCGATAACTGCATTAAATGAGATTCTTTTTTTTTTTTTTTTTATTATCGCAAGTTCGTTTGGTGCGCAATATTTTCTTTTGCTTTACTGAAATAGTTGGTGAAATAAATCTGCGGTGTAAAATTGGGTGAGTCATGAGAATATTNTTTGGGTTTTTATAAAATTCGTTATTTTTTTTATTATTTTTTTAAATTTTTAATCCCCCCCCCCAAAAAAAAAAAAAAAAAAATTGCTCGATATTACATTTGATGAAGGATGCATACGAAAAACTTTGTTTTTTTGGGTTGTTTAGTTTTAAGATGTAAATTAATGCATTCATCCAACATAGATTTAGGAACATGTAACAATCATCACATGGCACTACCCTTTTTCTAATAATTTTATTATAAGTTTATTTTCCTAGTAAAAGTTCAAACAGCATTTCAAACAAATAAATCCAAAAAGCGATGTATGTAATAAATGCTTTTGCAGCCTTTGCCGAGAAGTTGGTGGGGTGGAGATAGTTTGACCTACTTAGCCTACTTCCGGCGCCAGGACACCAAAGATATTGATGGTAAATGGGAAAGGGTAAGTAACACAAGTTATACGTCACTTAGTGATGTCACGTGATCACAAATTAGTGAAACTTTTTTTTTCAACTCAGAGCCATTTTAGATGAGGTAGTAATGCACTCTTAGATAAGGTAGAGACGCAATCTTATAAGAGGTAGCAATGTACTCTTAGATAAGGTACACATGCAATCTTAGATGAGGTAGCAGTGCACTCTTAGATAAGGTAAAAATGCACTCTTAGATAAGATAGGGAGGCAATCTTAGATGAGGTAGCAATGCACTCTTAGATAAGGTAGAGATGCAATCTTAGATAGTGTTGCAATGAAATCTTAGATAAGGTAGCAATGCAATCTTAGATAAGGTAGCAATGCAATCTTTGATAAGGCAGCAATGAAATCTTAGATGAGGTAGAGATGCAATCTTAGATAGGGTTGGAATGAAATCTTAGATAAGGTAGCGATGCAATCTTTGATAAGGTATCAATGAAATCTTAGATAGGTAGAGATGCATGCTTAGATAAGGGAGAGATACAATATTAGATAAGGTAGAGCTGCAATCTTAGATAAGATAGAGATGCAATCTTTGATAAGGTACAGATGCAATATTAAACAAGGTTGCAATGCAATCATTGATAAGGTAGCAGTGAAATCTTAGATAAGGTAGAGATGCAGTGTTAGATAAGGTAGAGATGCAATCTTAGATAACGGAGAGATGCAATCTTAGATAAGGTAGCGATGCAATCTTATATAAGCTAGCGATCCATCTTAGATAAGGTAAATATTTCACAATACAACACGTTTTGCTTTTTAAGTCATATGTTTTATATTATCCTTCACCTTTATCTTTAGAGTTTGTGTTAGTTTATCCAAAACATTTTCTACATATACATTCCTCAGTCTGAAATTATGTCGGGAACTCATCTCCACGTACTTGTCATGTCCTACACTTACATTCCTCAGTCTGAAACTATCTCGGGGACTCACCTCCACGTACTTTTCATGTCCTACACTTACATTCCTCAGTCTGAAACCATCTCGGCGACTCACCTCCACGTACTTGTCATGTCCTACACTTACATTCCTCAGTCTGAAACTATCTCGGGGACTCACCTCCACGTACTTGTCATGTCCTACACTTACATTCCTCAGTCTGAAACCATCTCGGAGACTCACCTCCACGTACTTGTCATGTCCTACGCTTACATTCCTCAGTCTGAAACTATCTCGGGGACTCATCTCCACGTACTTTTCATGTCCTACACTTACATTCCTCAGTCTGAAACCCTCTCGGAGACTCACCTCCACGTACTTGTCATGTCCTACACTTACATTCCTCAGTCTGAAACCATCTCGGGGACTCACCTCCACGTACTTGCCATGTCTTACACTTACATTCCTCAGTCTGAAACCATCTCGGGGACTCACCTCCACGTACTTTTCATGTCCTACACTTACATTCCTCAGTCTGAAACCATCTCGGAGACTCACCTCCACGTACTTGTCATGTCCTACGCTTACATTCCTCAGTCTGAAACTATCTCGGGGACTCACCTCCACGTACTTGCCATGTCTTACACTTACATTCCTCAGTCTGAAACCATCTCGGGGACGCACCTCCACGTACTTGTCGGTCAAGAGTTTTATTACTCCCCTTATGAGGTCAAAGTTCAAGCTGTCAATGAAATTGGCCCGGGGCCCAATTCTACCATCGTGATTGTGTATTCAGCCGAGGATAGTAAGTACTGACCAGTGACGTCATAAATTGATATCTATTCTTTACAAGACTATATCAATTAACGTATCTCATTTTCGGTACTAATTTCATGACTCTTGATCAACAGCATGCATCGAAATTTCCCCGTGTCACCATTTCTCACTGTCCCTTTATTTCTCATTTGTTCAAATACAATGCGTCTCTTTTTTTTAAAAAATGATTTAATTAATATTAGCGTGATATACCGTATATACCTACG